GCTGATACCTGCACACCCTGTGCATCCCACTGGGTTTGAAACACCAGTGGCTCAGCCTCAAAACTCACATCAACATGTCACCATGGTAGGACAAACCAACAGACAAGTTTGTCTCCCTGTTGGAAACCTCTCATACCACCCTTACCTGGGTCCCTTCCACTGACTCGTCCTCTGTCCGGATTCCTGGGCGTTTATTCCCTTTCTCCCGCTCTCCCGCCCTAGTGATCCACACAGTCAAATGTACTTGCAAAGTCAATAAAACAGAGGTAAACATCTTTCTGGTATTCTCTGCTTTAAGCCAAAATCCATCTGATATCCCCAATGATATCCCTTATTCTACATCATCTTCTGATTTCAGATTGAATTTCTGGAAGTTCCCTGTCAATATACTCCTGCAACTCTTTATGAATTTTCTTCAGCAAAATTTTACTTGCATGTGATATCAACGATAAAAAAAAAAAAAAAAAAAAAAAACCTCACTGCCATAGAGTCATTTACGACTCATAGCAACACCTCCTTGGGTTTCTGAGGCAGTATCTCTATGGAAGTAGATTGCCCACTCTACCTTCTGAGGAATGGCTGGTGGGTTTGAACCGCCAGCCTTCTGGTTAACAGTCAAATACCCTAGGCACTATGCCACCAGAGGAAGTAGAAAATATCCAATAGCACATCAGAACAATAAGTGCTTCAGGCAAAATATGGTAGTGACTGTTAAAATTAGTAGGTGAGTTTTTCTGAATAAATTCCAGTAAGATGTCAGAATAGGCAGACAAACTGCACAGACTCTCTTCAATAAATAAAGGGAGGAACCAATTAACATGATACAGAAGATAATCCTGGAGCCCTGAGCTTTGAAAGAAAGTATATAGGAGTGGACTAAACTCCACCTAGTAGAAGAACATGCATGAAAACACCAAAAAAGGAGATATATGGAGCTGCTGTCTGACAGTGATCCTGACAGCACAGACAGCTTGGATATTTCCAAGTGGTGTTAGGACCTAAGAATTAACCTGAAAATCGGCCCTGCTACCCAGGGGTTGCACAGAGGACTGACTGGCGGCTGGTAAGTAAAAGGGGAAGCAGCAAAGAGGAACGTTGGCTGAGCTGTGGACTTTTGCCTGTCCAGATGTGCAGTCATTTTGAATATTTACAAGAGGTTCAATCATTTAGGATATTTAAAGTGACAGCATTCTCCCAGATTCCAGGGACTTAAGAATAGGCATAGCTTCCCCTTGCCGGGAACCTGAAGGACATTCCAGAAGCCAACAACTGGAAAGGTGCAATATTCTCCTTGTTACTCTTATACCCCACACCCTCTTCGTGAATTGAGGTGTGGCCATCCCTCACTCCTACCCACATTCTGGGTTGGCAGGAATTCCTTCCCAGTCTGTGTGTTCAGACAGAGCCTGGGTGCCCTGCCCCACCACACCCAGATTTTTTTTCCTTTTATTTTTTTTTCAGTTTGTTTGTCTTTGTCTATTTTAAAAGTATTATTATTATTGTCATTGTCCTTTTTATTATTTTTCTTTATTCTTCCCTTCCTAGGTTCTAGTTTTCAGCTTTTTCTATCTTCCCTCTTCCTGGTTCCCACTTTTTTCTTTCTCTTGGTTAACCTCCTTCCTTATTTTTCTTTCTGCATTTTTTCACATTTTTTTTTCTTCATTATTTTCCTACTCTATCTTTATTCTCTTATCGCCTTCTTCCCAGATATTGTGGATTTTTTTTTTTGTATTTTTCCTTTTATTGGTGATTGTTCCTGTGTGTTTACATGGTGTTCTTTTTGCCCATCTGCTTTTACTTTTTTTGATGGCTATTTGATTGTTGTTTTTTTCTAACTGAGTGGGAGACAGCAACACTACCCATATGATACAACTACAACCACACCTCCTGCAGCTTCACTTACTGAGTGAGAGCCATCACTTCCTTCTCCACCAACTGGCCAACAATAAACAATCACCAAGAAGAGCCTGACTCACCCTTAACTGCTCTTCACAAATAGTTAACAGAGACCTAAATACAACAACATCACAATATCTCGGGGACAACAGACCATCTCAGTCCATGCAAAGAAGCAAGACAAAGTGGTAGAAACAAGGGGCAGGATACAGATCCAGAATACATCCCTGAGGAAGATGTAGCATTGGAACTCCCTAATAAGGAATTCAAAAGAATTATATTTAGGTATCTTCAAAGAACTGAGAAACAGTTCAAGGAAAACACTGAAAAAATTAAGGAAAACACAGACAAAACCCTAGAACAATTCTGAAAGACAAGAACAAAATAAGTGAAAAATTAGAAAATCTATACACAGAAATCTAAAAGATTAATACTAAATTTTCATAAATAGTTAACACATTGAAAGGGCAAAGCAGTAGAATTGATGCAATGGAAGACAGAGTTAATGAGATTGAAGACAAATACTTCAATACTTCTTTGGAAAGAGATCAATCAGAAAAAAGATCAAAACAAAATGAAGAAAGCCTAAGGTTCATGTGGGATATCATTAAAAGGAATAACCTACGTGTAACTTGAATTCCAGAACAGGAAGAGAAAAATAAAACCACTGAGAAAATTGTCCAAGATTTGTTGGAAGTGAACTTCCCTGATATGATGAAAGATGAAAATATACCCATTCAGGAAGTCCAACAAACCCCAAACAGGATGGCGTGGAAAATAAAATCACCAAGGCATCATCAAACTCATCAAAATCAAAGACAAAGAAGAATGTTGAAAGCAGCACAGGAACATTACTAGGTGAAAGTTTAAGGAAAAATAATACTTTCATAGTCTAAAGTATCTCCTCTAAAATATTCATTACAAACAGAAAATAGTGATTTTTCAACAGAGAAACCTAGTGAACATAACCTTAACCACATTGTCAAAGATAACACTAGTAATAAGACCTATTAACATGATGAACCTATGATATGCACTGAGAAGTACACATGACCTATGAAGTTTCTTCCTGAAAATATCTAATGAAATGTCATGAAAAAAACATGAGACAAACCCATATTGAAGGACATTCTATGAAATAAATGACAAGTACTCTACAAAAGTATCAAAGTCATGAAAACAAGGAGAAGACTGGAAGACATGACAACAAAATGCAATGTGGGATCCTGGAATAGATCCTGGAACAGAATTAAGACAATAGTGGAATAACTGGTGAAATTCATATAAAGTATTTTACACAGTAATATTGTACCCAGTGTTAATTTCTTAGTTTGATAAATGTGCTCTGATTATGTAAGATGTTAACATTAGGGAAATCTAGGTTGATGATATAGAGGAATTTTCTACACTATTTTGGCAACTCTTCTGTATGTCTTATTTCAAAGTAGAATGATTAAAATAAATATGCTACATGAAAAACTGTTAAAAGGGGGAGGGAGAATATTAACCTTTCAAACAGAAGTCTCAAGGAAGACATGAGGGCTGAATTAAAAAAAAAACCAAGGGGAACCATATAGAGGAAAAATTACATTAGCCTTGTATGTGCTTAATAAGTAGAATTAGGCAAAGTTTCAAGAGTAGCTGGAGACATGGTACAGCTTACTAGGAGATATTTTACCAAGCAAAATTCTCCAAAGATGGAATGGGCTATGTAAGGAGAGTGCTTTACATGGCTGACAGTGCAGCAGGGGCTTGATGGGCACTTCCCAGGAACATCCTATGCAGGTCCTTTATCGTCTAACTCCCAAAAATATGGTCCAGACATTAGCAGCATCTACCCCAGCATTGCCTGGGAGCTGTGATAAATGCAGAAATGCAGAATCTCAGGACCCACTTGTGACCTACTGATGAAGAATCTGTATTTTACCAGTTTCCAGGTGAGTTGTAGGCATGATGAAGCTCTGCTCTGGAGCAAACCGACTTGGAAGGACTTAATGATACTTTCAAAGTCTGAAATGCTTTGGTTCTTATATAATGGTAAAATTATTAATTAATACTTGCTAGTTTAGTATTTTGAATAATTTATGAAATTGTACATTTAATGATAGAATTTTTGAATAAAATACATCTGATTACTATTAATACAACTCTAAAATTAAAGGTTTAATTACCTTAAAAGTAGATTCCAAAAAGTATAGTCTTAATGGTTTATGCTAATACAAGAAATCTAATAGTAATTCTTTTTCAAAGTAATCTGCAATTTATCACATTATTTTTGCTATTATTCTTAAATTCTCTATTACATTTGTATCTTTTGCCCATAAATATATTTCCATTTCTCAAGACAAACCCTAAATTAATGTTGTGTCATATTCATAACTAGAATTAAAATTCTTATTAGAGCAAAAGAAGCTTCATACGGATTTAATATTGCCTCAAAATTATTTATGTAAATAGGAAGAATGCTATGGAATGGCATATCAATAAGGAATATGAACTATTTAATTACTTCTTACTAATGTTGTAAAATTTAAATATTACCTTTTGTGTTTTTTAAGCCATAATTTGTCCATATAGGATAGACTGTCTTCCTTAAATTGAATCTCAAGTGGTTCTCTCCAAATTTTCAAGTTAGTCTGCACTTCACATGCTTCCATTGAATCTATAAAAATAAATGCAATATGCATAACCTATGTGATCTAGCCTATAAATTATGATATCTTCTCTCCAGATACAGAACTCACCTTTTTTAGGGCATTTGCACTTTGATATTTACCTAAATAATCAATAGTTTCACAGGTTTAAAGCATGCACAAGAGTTAAATATTCATCATTTATTAAATAACTCTATAGACAATTTTCTTCAATAATTCCTTGAAATGAAAGGACTTTACCATTCACAAGGTTTTTTCAAGAAACTAATTATTATAGAGAAGAAAGATAAATATAAATGGATGCATTATATATTCTATAAACATATGCATAAATGTATGTATTATAGCCATTGACAACAATATTTATATATTATGGGAAAAAAAAAAAAAACTCAAAGTGGCACCTGCAGGAAACAACTGTTTGCAGGAAATTATATTGGTGACAATTTTCTTCCAGATGCTTAAAATATTTCTGAAATGTTACTAAATTAAAAACATTATTAAGAGACATTTAGATGTCATGAAGATTTCTGGGAAAGAAAGGAGTATAAACTAAGAATACTAGTCTCTCTGCTCTCCCAGGTGTCATTCCTCTCTCCATAATAGTAAAATAGGGAAAGACAAAAGTAGAAGAAGAATAAAAACAAGTTGGAAACATACGTTTTCATAAACTCTAAAATTAGAAAGCAGTCCCAAACTTATACTGCATACTTTAAGGATTCACTTAACAGCAAAATATCAGCAACAGAAATAAGGCTAAAAAATATGTTTGTCCTGAACCTATTGTTCCCAAAGAGTAAAGCAGTTAGAGTAAGTCCTGAAAAACTCCACCAGAATCCATTAGACCAAAAGAACTGTAGTCAAGGACACGAAGAAGTGATGGGAAAAAGGAAATGTCCCCACTTGAAGTTTCCCTTTCCTTTGCAAGACAAAAGATTTCTTGACAGGAGAGCTAAAATAAATAAATAGATAGATAGAAAGATAAATAAATAAAAGCTCACTTTTTTTTGTCTGTGTAGTTCACTAAGAAGAGCCATTGTGCTTAGATAATCAGAAACATAGAAGATTGACTTGGAGGAAGCCTGTAAATCAGCTGGCCTAAGAGTCCCTTTTCTGACATTGTTGTTTATTGCTATTAAGTCAATTCCGATGAGTGGCACATTCCCAGAGAAAGAAAGGATGACAGGTATTATACATCAAATTGTCTCCCAAAGAGAGATATATTGAAGTTCTAAGCCCCAGTACCTGTAAGAATGACCTTGCTTAGAAACAGGGTCTTTGAAGATGTTATCAATTAAGTTAACATAAGGTCATACAGATACAGAATGGGTTCTAACCTAATATGAGTGGTGTATTTATTAAAAAAAAAAAAAAAAATCACAGATACACAGACACAGAGAGAAGGTATCCATGTGAAGTTGGAGGCAGAGATTTGGAGTGACACATCTACAAGCCAACTATACCAGATGCCCACTATACCAGAATTACTGGTCAGGTGAAATCTGGTGAGACTCCCAGTACTATGGCCCTAGAATACATTCTGCACCTGGAATAAAATGCATCCCCAGGGGCAGACTCTCAGCCCAACAGTTATTAAGATGTACACACAGACCACTCAACTCAGGATGACGCACCCACATACTCTATGGCAATACATCCCTCAGAGCAATAGACCACAGGGCACCAGAGGACCAACATTCTAACTGAGGAAATGCAGGACAAACAGGAGTGTATAAATATGAGGGGCACAGGGGGAAGGTTGCAGGGTAGGGAGGGGAGGAGACTGGGTTAGGGTTGAACATGGCTAATGGGGAATGAAACTAAATGTATGCATTATGTTGAATGTAAAACAAGCTCTTAAAATAAAAAATAAAAATAAATAAATAAGAAAAAGGAAAAGAAATGCCCACTATAGCTGACCATCGTTACAAATCTGAAGAGAGGCATGGAAAAGGTTCTTCTCCAGAATCCTCAGAAGGAATCAGAAAGGCTGATCCCTTGATTTCAGACTAGCCTCCAGAGCTGTGTTTAACAATAAATTTCTGTTCTTACCCACCAGCCACTCCTTGGAAGAAAGGTTGGGCAATCTACTTCTGTAGTGATATCCCTCGGAAACCCAAGGAGGGGTCACTATGAGTGACAACAACAAGTCACTTAATCTGTGGTACTTTTTACAGCAGTCTTAGGTAACTAATACAGCAAGTGACCTTGGTTAATATTATAAGCATGTTGTTATCTGGTACTCCTGGCAAATTAATGATATTTTCTAGAAGAAGAACCTTTTAGCAAGGTAATGCTTTCAGCAGGACATCTCTGGTTTATGATTGTTTATAGTAAACAAAAGGCAAGGGCCTTACTAAGAGAACTTTGGCCTAGAAGGTTTATGTGATATGAAGCCTGTTATCCCTGTGAATTCATCTCTTATTACCCCCTTTGCTTGTTCAGTCTCAGTTTCATTGTCTTTCTGGCTATTGTTCAAACACCTCAAGGCTATTTTCACCTTAGGACTTTTGTGCTGTCTATTAAGAAAATACCCACGACTTCATCCATATGAGCCATGGAGAATATCATGCAACTTTTCACAAAATGCAGCCAGTGAAGCATGGAACAAGCAAGCAAACCAAAGCCTAATTTACATAGCTTATGTGCATTTTACAGGGAGCCATCCTTCATAAACCCTAGCATTCTAGATTTGTTTACTATAAACGCACTGCCATCAAGTCACACCCCACTCACAGCCGACCCCTCCTTGGGTTTCCGAGGTGGTATGGAAGCAGACTGCCCAATCTTCCTTTCAAACCTTTGCCTTTTACAGTGAAGGAAATAAAGAGCTTTTGGAGAACTAAAATTTTAAAAAGTCAGAAATCAATAACAGAAATAATATGAAATCTTGAAAATTTAAAGCACATTACTGAATTGAAAAGCCAGGAAATATATAAAAATACACTCAATATTATTTGTTGTAAGATATTATTAGTAAGTATATCATATATATTATATATATTAGGAGCTCGGGTGGCATAATGCCTAAGGCATTTGACTGCTAACCAGAAAGCTGGTGGTTCAAACCCAACAGCCACTCTTTGGAAAGAAGACTGGGCAATCTACTTCTATAGAGATATTGCCTGGGAAACCCAAGGAGGGGTCACTATGAGTTGTATTCAACGTGACAGCAGTGAGTTATAGTATATATTAAGGGAGTTCTGGTGGTATAGTGGTTAAGGCATTTGGCTGCTAACGAAAAGGTCAGTGGTTCAAACCCACCAGCCATTCCATGGAAGAAAGATGATGCAAAGAAATAAAGGGTAAAAAAGGAAAAAAAAAAAAAAATCAGGCTAGTGAGACCTTCTTAAAGAAGTAGGGAGAAGATGGGATAAGAAAAGGCATTCTCAGGGATCTTGAAATATAATGATTTGGATTATATATTTTTTAACATAGTGAAAGATTCACCGGTGCTTATTGTTTTGTTTTTCTCTATAATCTGCATAAATTCATAAATGTTTCTCTTATTGAGTTAATAGATCAAACAAAACCTATTAGAAAAGAAAAATACTTGCAAACATAACATATAATATACAGAAAGACATAAAGACATACATATAAAGCACTATGGGTCTAAAACAAACATGTCCAAAAAATCACAGATTATATGGTAGCATAGTGCCTAAGGCACTTGACTGCTAACCAGAAGGCTAGCGGTTAAACCCACCAGCCACTCCTCAGAAGGAAGGTTGGGCATTCCTACTTCCGTAGTGATACTGCCTCGGAAACCCAAGGACAGGTCGCTATGAGTCGGGGCCTACTCGATGGCAAATAACAACAACAACAACAACATATCAAGAAAAGTCCTAAATGACTTCTCACAGCAGTCAGACTGCTGACCTCACTTCTTTATTTAAAAACATTCTGGGGGTTCCGGCAAGATGGCGGACTAGGCAGAAGGATTGCACAGACCCTCTTCAACAAAGAAAAGGGAAACCAATTAACACAGACACAGAAGATAATC